ACAACAAAATAGCTTGTTTTGTAGTTTTTCTGTAGTTTAGTCTCTCTTCAACATATTTTAGTCTTGTTCAGTGTTTAGAAACTGCAGTTACGTTATTTATTGTTGAATTACAATAGACTAAATGGAAGTCATTGAAGCCGTGTACTTAACCATTACTAACAAAAACTACAACAAAATAGCTTGTTTTGTAGTTTTTCAGTAGTTTAGAAACTCTTGAACACAGTTCACACTTGTTTAGTGTTTATCAACTACAATTTAGCTGTTCGTTAGTAAAATACAACAGACTAAAAAGTCCATGAAGCTGTTTGCTTAAAAACAATAAAATAAGAAGTCTGAATTTGTAGTTTTTCAGTAGTTTAGTCTCTCTTGAACAAAATTTCCTTGTTCAGTGTTTATCAACTGCAGGTTTAGACTTCCGTTGCTAAAATACATTTCGACTAAAAACAAAGTTCATGTAGCAGTTTGCATAATTATAATAAATAACAATAAACTACAAAAAAAATCATTTTTTTTGTAGTTTTTCAGTTGTTTAGCCTCTCTTGAACATTTTACTCTTGTTCAGTTTAATAAAAAAAAATTTTAGCAGAAACACAACAGACTAAATGTTAATATAGTTAATGTAAGTCAATGCAGTCAATGTAGTGGTTTGCTTAATAATATTACAATAAAAAAACAGAAGTTTGTTTTGTAGTTTTTCAGTAGTTTAGCTTCTCTTGAACACGACTTATATTTGTTCAGTGTTTATCAACTGAGGTTTAGTCAGAAAGAGCTTTATTGCCAAGTATGTTTGCACATTTGTTTTAATATCACAAGCTTTCAGTACACAGAGAAAACAACACACAGATAATAAAAATAAGTTAATAACATACATATGTATAAATATGAATAAACCACAATAAAAACACTTAAAGATTGCTAAAATAGAAATATTTTTGATTTTCACTGCTAAAATACAACAGACTAAAATGGAAGTTAATGTAGTGGTTTGTTTAATATCACAATTTAAAAAAACAATTAAGCACGTTTTGTAGTTTTTTCAGTACTTTAGTCTCTCTTGAACACAGTGTTTAGAAACTGCCTTTTGGACTTTCATTGCTAAAATGCAACAGACTAAAAAAAAGTAGTTTGCTTTACAACAAACAAACAACAGAGCTGTTTTTGTACTTTTTCAGGAGTCTAACCTCTCTAACGCAATTTCTCTTGTTTAGTGTTTTGTAACTGTAACACAGGCTAGTATTCATTTGCCGTTTTAATGTAACAACTTGGTTACATCAGACTATATCCACTACATGACCTTGACAACTTTCGTTTGTTTCACAAGAACAAAACTAACTAACATCTTATTAATCTTCCCTATTAATAAGTGTCTGATTATGGATGTAATACTGCGTCTCTGTTGGATGGTGATTCTCATGTTCACAGCAGGACGTTGCTGCACATGATTTATCATCACAGCTTTAGCCAATGCTTTATCAACACTCGCCCTAATGCTGTATCTAATGAATTACAAATCAAAGTAATCCTACTTATCAACTCCTCATTATAGTTATGGCCCTTGTATTATCAGGATAGGCTGGTAAAACAACTATTATAATTTAATAAATGCAATAAAAATTTAAATTAGACTAAGCTTTTTATCACAACTTTTTCAATGCTCAATTTATTAAACATTTTTATTTGTACTTTATCAAAAAAAATGTGTCTTGTTAAATAAACATACAACAGACTAAAAAAAAAAAGAAAAAGAAAGCCACTACATGAACTTAACAACAATAAATAACAATAAAATATCATCAAATAGTTTTATCAAATAGTTAAAGTAGTTTATCCTCTCTTGAAGACGATGTACACTTGGTTAGTGATTAGAATCTGCAATTTAGACTTTTGTTGCTAAAATGTAACCGGCTTAAATTATGTTAATGTAGCGGATTATAATTTAATAAATTCAATCAATTTAACTAAGACTATACTCTTTCATAAGAGCGTTTTCAGTTACCAATTTATTTTTTATCTATTAAACATTTTTGAGTGGTATAAGAACTTGTAGCTACCATTGTTTCTTGTTAAGCAAACATACAACCCACTACATAAACTTATAATGAACAATAAATAGCAACAGCAATAGCAAATGCGCTGGGTTTTGTTGTTTTTCAGGAGTTTAGACTCTTGAACACCGTTTACGCTTGTTTACTCTTAATTACTTGTAGTTCAGACTTCTGTTGCCAAAATGCAACAGACTAAAAAGAGGTTCATGTAGTGTTTGCTTAACAACAATAACAAGAAAACAAAAACAAAAAAAGTTGTGTTGTTTTTCAGGAGTTTAGACTCTCTTGAACACTGTTTACACTTGTTTACTGTTAATTACTTGTAGTTCAGACTTCTGTTGCCAAAATGCAACAGACTAAAAAGAGGTTAATGTAGTATTTGCTTAATAAAAATAAATAATAAAATAACCAAAAAAAATGGTTTTGTAGTTTTTCAATAGTTTACACTCTGCTGAACACAATTTACACTTGTTTAGTTTATTACTTGTATTTCAGACTTCTGTTGCCAACATACAACAGACTAAAAAGAGGTTCATGTAGTGTTTGCTTAACAACAATAACAAGAAAACAAAAACAAAAAAAGTTTTGTTGTTTTTCAGGAGTTTAGACTCTCTTGAACACCGTTTACGCTTGTTTACTGTTAATTACTTGTAGTTCAGACTTCTGTTGTCAAAATGCAACAGACTAAAAAGAGGTTAATGTAGTGTTTGCGTAATAAAAATAAATAATAAAATAACAACAAAAAACTGGTTTTGTAGTTTTTCAATAGTTTACACTCTGCTGAACACAATATACACTCGTTTAGTGTTTATTACTTGTAGTTCAGACTTCTGTTGCCAACACACAACAGACTAAAAAGAGGTTCACGTAGTGTTTGCTTAACAACAATAACAAGAAAACAAAAACAGTTTTGTAGTTTTTCAGTAGTTTAGACTCTATTCAACGTTCTGTTCAGTGTTTAGAAACTCCAAATTAGGAAGAGGTTGTTAAAATAAAACAGACAAAAAACGTTATTGTAGAAGATACATTTTATAAACATTAATTCTTTTATTTAATAAAAAATGTTGTCTGCTAAAAGAACTCACAGCTATAAAAAAAAAAAACACTACAGCACAGGTGCCATTTTCTGTCCTCCTTTCAACAATTGGAATCAAACACACATTGTAACTTTGGCTTGAGAACCCACTACATAAACTTATAATGAACAATAAATAGCAACAGCAATAGCAAATGCGCTGGGTTTTGTTGTTTTTCAGGAGTTTAGACTCTTGAACACCGTTTACGCTTGTTTACTCTTAATTACTTGTAGTTCAGACTTCTGTTGCCAAAATAACAAAAAAAAAATGGTTTTGTAGTTTTTCAATAATTTACACTCTGCTGAACACAATTTACACTTGTTTAGTTTATTACTTGTATTTCAGACTTCTGTTGCCAACATACAACAGACTAAAAAGAGGTTCATGTAGTGTTTGCTTAACAACAATAACAAGAAAACAAAAACAAAAAAAGTTGTGTTGTTTTTCAGGAGTTTAGACTCTCTTGAACACTGTTTACGCTTGTTTACTGTTAATTACTTGTAGTTCAGACTTCTGTTGCCAAAATAACAAAAAAAAAATGGTTTTGTAGTTTTTCAATAGTTTACACTCTGCTGAACACAATTTACACTTGTTTAGTTTATTACTTGTATTTCAGACTTCTGTTGCCAACATACAACAGACTAAAAAGAGGTTCATGTAGTGTTTGCTTAACAATAACAAAAAAAGTTTTGTAGTTTTTCAGTAGTTTAGACTCTATTCAACGTTCTGTTCAGTGTTTAGAAACTCCAAATTAGGAAGAGGTTGTTAAAATAAAACAAACAAAAAACGTTATTGTAGAAGATACATTTTTTAACATTAATTATTTTATTTAATAAAAAATGTTGTCTGTTAAAAGAACTCACAGCTATAAAAAAAAAAATACTAGAGCACAGGTGCCATTTTCTGTCCTCCTTTCAACAATTGGCATCAAACACACATTGTAACTTTGGCTTGAATGTTGTTTACAGATGTGCAATTCAAACACGCTCATAAAGATATCTAATCACACAATTACGAAAGGCACGATCAGTCTCGTACACAATAACCCCCCTGAACTGGAAAAGCCTCCCTGTGTGTGTGTGTGTCGATGCATGTGCCGTTTAAAGCTCACAACTATTCTTGCAATGCAGCACTTTTTCCCTTTAAAAAGACTATAAAAGGTTTATCCCCCTCCCACTCACACACACACACACACTCTCCCTCTCACACACACACACACACTCTCCCTCTCACACACACACACACACACACACACACACACACACACACACACACACACACACACACACACACACACTGAGTTTGACAGCAGCTATAAATCACTGAGAGCCTGGAATCAATCCGCACAATCATTTACACACCATATAGCCAAACACATACAGAAAACACATCGTGTTGTTTTCCAGAAGCTAATATATTTGTGTTGTTTAGTGTGTTAGCACACACACACACACACACTGAGTTTGACAGCAACCCTCACAATACCACACACACCACATATTAACAGCACTTCAAAACACCGCTATAAATCACTGAGAGCCTGGAATCAATCCGCACAATCATTTACACACCATATAGCCAAACACATACAGAAAACACATCGTGTTGTTTTCCAGAAGCTAATATGTTTGTGTTGTTTAGTGTGTTTTGATCGTCATGAGTCAAGTCAAGTTACAATTCGTTATCATGGGTCGAGTCTAGTCACAGCTGATCTTCCTGTGTCGAATATGTTTGTGTTGTTTAGTGTGTTAGCATGTCAATCTGCCGCACACACACACTCGCACACACTCTCCTCAGCCACATATTCGCACAAAACTGACAACTGCAGCGATCTGTTCCCACACTACGAACACTAGAATGTCATTTAAGCGCATTTTACCCGAGTTTATCGGACTTGTTTCCGTAACCATCCACTGAATCCGTTCTCAGGCCGCAGTTTAAACTCGCGTTTAGTCCAACGGAACGTTTCTTCTTCGTCTTCTTCGTCTTCGTCTTCGTTCTCCAAATAAACCAAGC